GTGATACTGCCTTGGAAACCCAAGGAGGGGTCTCTATGAGTCGGGTCTGACTTGATGGCACATAACAACAACATTCATTGTCCAGCTCTCATATGCATATGAGGTGATTGAAAATACCATGGCTTGGGTCAGAGGCACCTTAGTCTTCAAAGAGACATCTTTGCTCCTTAACATTGTAAACAGGTCTTTTGCAACAGATTTGCCCAGGGCAATACATCATCTGATTTCTTGACTGCTGCTTCCTTGGATATTGATTGTGGCTCCAAGTAAAATGAAATCCTTGACAACTTCAATATTTTCTCCATTTATCGCATATTGGTCCAACTGTGAGGATTTTTGTTTTCTTTAGGTTGAGGTGTAATCCATACTGAAGACCGTAGTTTTTGATCTTCATCAGTAAGCGCTTCAAGTCCTCTTCACTTTCCGCAAGCACGGTTGTGTCATCTGCATACTGCAGGTTGTCAATGAGTCTTCTTTCAAATCGCATGCTGCATTCTTCTTCATAGAGTCCAGCTTCTCGGATTATTTGCTCAGCATGCAGATTGAATAAGTATGGGGAAAGGATATAGCCCTGACACACTCAGTTCCTGATTTTAAACCATGCAGTATCCCCTTGTACTAGAGGGTAAACACATATTAACTTGGATGAAGGGGGAGGTTAAAAAAAAAAAAAAAAAACAACTGTAGAGGGGAGCTAGGAACTCACAGGACTGACGAGACAAGACCTGCTCAGCAGAAGTTCCTGAGAAAAGACCAGAGCGAGGACTTTGTCAGGGTGTCAGCCCAGTTTCCAGAACCTCAGGGCCAGGTGACCAGCACAGGGTGGAGAGGCTTCTGGTGCTTACTGTGGTGAAAGGCTGCAACCCAGGGGACAACAAGGAGATCCTCAATGTTCTCAGAGAGAAAGGACAGGTTTCATGAGAGGACCAAGGATGGAAGACTTTGCTCGTGTCCACAGCAACACTGGAAGCTGTGAAGAAATCCCTACAAGGCCCCAGAGGAAAGAACTCACATACTCTTGGCCCTCACTCGGGGTGAGAGGAGTAGACATGGTCAGACATCCTGGGCTCACGTTTCTCAGGAAGCCCTGCAGGATTTCTCCCAGAACAAGGGCAGGAGGTCCCTTCAGGAGGCAGAGGTGCATCCAGGAAGGTGGGAGGTGGGAGCCACTGGCCTGTGGAGCTGGACAGAAGGCCCAGAGACATCTGGGGAAGGTGAGATCGGCAGGCTGTCCAAGGCCCCTGGTCACGAGGGAGGGAAGGTTTATTCAGCTCGGGGTCTGGGAGATGAACCAGTGAGAACTCAGCAAAAAGAGACATTCGTTAGCTCCAAGCAAACAAAAAGCACCTTCTACACAGCACAGCAAATGAATAATAAAATAAATCGGATTCTGGGTAATACGTTAGGACCCAGCTGAATCAGAGGGAGCGGTGCAGGGTGCTGGTGTGCACGGGTGCAGGCGGGACACACTGGCCTTCTCAGCAACCATCCCTGAGCCCCAGGAGAATGTCTGAAACGGTGGGAAACGCAACAACCATTTGTTGCATAAATGAGTCAGCAAGCCCAGGAGGTGAGGACCCCGACAGCAGCTAAGAGAGCTCCAAGCAGCTGCTCTGAGCAGAAGGAAGTGATGTGGGGAGACTGGCCAGGGGTCCGCTGACATCTGGGACAGCTCTGGGCACCTCGACTCTTTAATCTGGCACGGGTAGCGTTGACACTTCCACCCCAGCACGTTTGATTTTGTCAGAATCGCTACCCTGGCTTTCTTTGGTTCTCATTACTCAACACACACTTCCCACCCGTTTATTTTCAACTCCTCTTTCTCGTTTCGGCTCTGCTCCTTGAAGACAGCACACGGGGACCCTTCTTGCTGACTGTGCATCTCTTCTAGCCATGAGTTTATTAACTGGTTCAGATCTACATACCCTACCCTACCTACTTGCCTGTCCTACCTACTACCTACCTACCTGTCTTGCCACTTACCCACCTATTCTACCAACTACCTGCCTGCCTATCCTACCCACCTACCCCCCTACTTCCTATCTACCCACTTACCTGCCTACTCCCTATCTACCTGTCCTACCTACTACCACCCTCCCACCTACCTATCTATCCCACCTCCCTGCCTGTGCTCCTGTCCCACCTGCTCCCTACCAGGTGCCATTGAGCCAACCCCAGCTCACGGCCCCACCATGGCTGTCAGAGTAGAGCTGCACTTCATAGGGTTTTCGTGACTGATTCCTGGGGGGCCTCCAACCTCCAGCCTTTCAGTCAGCAGCTGGGCCCGCTGCCCGTACCACCAGGGGCTCCCACCAGTTTATACTGCAAGTAGTTCCTCATACCGGGGGACGACTCCTGCCGTCACCTTTTCTGTTTCTGTCTCCTGCACTGTCTCTGGTTGCTATTTTTCTTCTCTCTAGCTCTTCATCTGACAGAGTGAGTTTTCTTGACGTCAGTTTAAAAGTTATCCATTCTATTTTTGTTCTGGGGGTTGCCTTTTACATACAGCCTGTTCAAGTTAATTCCTCTGCTGAGTTCTTAGCTGTGCTAGGGCTCGTGTTCCCCACGGGACATGTACACAGCGGATATTCCTGTCCCCCAGGCTCCCACACCCATCATGGAGGTTTTTCTAGAAGTGTGATCCTGCCTCGTCACGGGTTCTTGTCTTTGTCCTAACTTGTTTTTAAAAAGAATCACTTCTGGAATTTATCAAGATATTTGGTCACCCTCTGTATTAGTCTCCCCATGCTGCTGTAACAAAGACACCACCAGTGGCTGGCTGTAAGGAACAGAAGTTTATTGTCTCATTGTTTTGGACACCACAAATCCAAATCAGGGCATCTGCCCTAAAGAAGGGTTCCTCCTTGCCAGTAGCCCCAGGAAATCCTTGGTGGTCCTGAATTTGTAGACAGCTCCTCAGATGGTCTCTTCCTCCTGAGCATGTCTCTATGTCTATACCCACACTACTCAGAAGGGATTGGACTTTCTGGATGGCACAGATGCGTAAGCCCTTGGCTACTAACCAAAAGGTTGATGGGTCAGACACATTGAGAGGTGCCTTGGGAGAAATTCCTGGTGACCTGCTTCTGAAAGGTCATAGCCACAAGAGCCCTGTGGAGCAGTTCTACCCTGGCACACGTGGGGTTGCCATTAGTGGGATCAACTCCACAGCAACTTGTTGGTTGCTCAGAAGGGATTCATTTTAGCACTCACCTCAGTAACATAACAAAGAAGAGCTATTCCCAAACAGGGTCACAGTCACAGGTACAGGTCTGGGACTTCTGCATATGTTCTGTGGGACACCCTTCGGCCCACAGCACTCTCAGCACTGCCTCTTCATTCCTCTTGTTTGTGTTCTTCCTCCTGAGTGTCTCATAGTGGGCTTGGTGTGGAGTCTCCTTAGGTTTCTGTGAATGCTTGGCAGTGTTTCTTCATCCTTCACATTTGGTTAATAATTTGGCTGGGTATAAAATTATAGGTCCAAAGTTGTTTTTTTCAGCCTCTGAGAATATCGTTGCATTGTCCACAGCATCCACGAGACTCCAGGACGAGGGCTGCTGTTAGCTCTCCCTGCCCTGGTCTAGTTCCTGGGATATGTCTGGGAGGGGCTGGTGAGCCCATGCTGAAAGCCTTTCATCCTCTAGTTAAACAAACCCATGCTAAGTGCCAAATGCAGACACAAACCATACAGAAGAGGAGCAAGTCCAGTCTGTTTGGTCCAGGCTGCTGACCACCAGGCTGTACCAGGGTGGAATTAAAGCAGACAGGAAGGCCTGCTGACTCACCCCAGATCTGACTCACCCAATGGGATTTTGCAAGTTCCCCAAAATGTGCGTCCACGATTCTGGGACATGGAGGGGCTGGAATGACAGAGTGTGGGGCACAGTCAGATCTGATTCACCTCATCTAGCCCTGACTTTGTTGTGTGCAAGGGCAGCATGGGCATCCTGCAAACAACCTCAGGCACCCACAGCCATTCACTGAGAATTCACAGCCAGTGCTGACGTGGGCCTGCTTCCTGAGGAATTCTGGGGAACCAGAAGTGCCTGACACGTGAAGTAAGCTGGGGGTGGAGTCTTCCCTCACCTCACACAGCTGCTCTTTAAAAATGACTTGGAGCTTACCTGTCTTACTGGAGGTTGTCAAGGTGGCAGGCCCAGCCTACCTGACCAGTCTGGTCTTAGGTGCCCAGGGGAGTTTGGGGCACATGTGTGGGGAGGAGAAAGATGTAGGGTCATGGAGAAAAGGAGGGGAAAGACATGGGGGCAGGGTGCGGGGAGGAAGTGTAGTCAGGGGAAGGATGTGGGGGAGGGAAAGACAGGCAGCGGGCAGGATGATGGGGAGGGCTTCCATGCAGTGTGGGGATGAAGAACATAGGGTTTGTGGGAAGGATGTAGGGGAGGAGGAGAGTGTTGGAGAGGGATGTGGAGTGAGGGAGAAGGACTGATGGGAGGGGGAGGATGTGGGAGGGAGGTTGTGGAGGGAAGGACTTTCAGGGGAGGGGAAAGGGAAGGAACTTGGGGGAAGGGGAGGATGCTGGGGAGAGGAAGATGAGAAGAGCCACCCCGGGGTAGGACTGGGTCTGAGGAGACAAGGAACTCAAGGCACCAGTGGGGGACAGTTCCAAGGAGGACTGGAGGGCAGAAGGGTCCAGCTGGGGAAAGAGCCCAGGGCGGAGGGGCCAGGGACAGACCCACTTCTCCCACCACATGTCATGTGCAGGGAGACATCACCACCACAGCCACGCCCACCCTGGGGCATCATGTGGTCGTGTGGTCTCAGAGCAGTGTCCATGAGGAGAAGATAAAGCACTCCCCGATGGACACAGCACTCTGGTGGTTCAGGATCCAGGGCTGGCATGAGCCTTCTGTGGCTCTTAGACCCCAAGACTGTTCATTATCCTCATGCCTGGCCAGGGGCTGAGGTGGCTTAGGGTGTCACAGTCTGTAACAGCAGACCGGCCCCTCAGTGATCACTCAGCTCCTCAGAGTCCCTGGGAGGGGCCCAGTGGTGACCTTGGCTGGGGGGAGTGGGCCCAAGCTTGCCATCTATGGGGCCCCAGGAGGGGCAGGGGTGTTGGGCCACATGGCATTCTGAGTTCTGAGTCAGCTGAATCCAGCCGTTTGGATGACTGTGGCTGGTGCAGAGAGCTGCGGGTCACAGGAGGACAGGCTAATCTCCACAAGTAGAGGAACCTGCCTGTCACCTGTGCGAGGCTCCTGCCAGGGCTTATGCCAGCATCCGACTTGGCCACAGTGTTAAGGTGGGTGGGTGTTGGTGCTCAGTGACGCATAGGGTCTCCTATCACTCACCTCAGGTCCACTCACGTAAACCACTTGGCTCCTTAGGGGGCCTAAGTGCAGGCCTCTTGTCTCAAAGTCCCTTCTCTGTACCTCCTGCTTCAGAAATTTGCAGGTGTGGAGGCCCAGAAGATCTGGGGAGGCCCACAGCTGCAAGCCAAGGTCAGACACTTCAGGAGAGCAATGGGACACAGCCTCCCAATGGCCAGGAGCCCCAGCAGGATGGGTCTGGTTCTTCCAGAAAAAGCTTCCCTGCCTTGTTCATCATCAGGATAATCAGGGTGGTGGTGGTGGTGGTGGTGGTGGTATCTGCCGTTGACCTGGCTCCAATTCATGGCAGCTGTTTTGGTTACTTCGTACTGCTCTGACAGAAAATGTACCATAAATGGGTGGCTTGAAGAAATAGGAGTTTATTCTCTTACAGTTTTGGAGGCTAGAAGTCCAAGTTCAAAGTGCCAGGCTCTAGGAGCTGGGTGAAAGTCCCTTGACCTTGGTCTTCAGCTCTGCCTCCTGCTCCTGGCCCACTGGAGCTGGAGGCTTTCTTCACTCAGGCAGCTGCTGCTGCTGAGGCTGACAAACCCAAGGTCGACAAGTAAAATGGCACGGTCCCGATGTTACCAAACCACATGGAAGACCATTGAATCAAGGCCATTAAGAGTCCCAAGATCAGCAGACAACATGGCAGGCTGCTGAATGATGACTCGGCTACATGCAGGATTGAAGCGTGCCAAGAGCTGAAGACCTTCCTCATCCCTGAGGCAGCCCCTTAGCTGCTCCAGTAGATTCCACCATGGAGTTGATGACCCATCTCACCATGGAGAATCACTACATCCAGCAGCCCAGCACTCAAAACCAGGCCCAGCCAAGTTGACACATAACCTTAAGTACCACAGTGGCCTTAAGTATAACAGAACACATGTTGTCACATTGCCAGTCCTACACCACCTTCCTGGTCGCTGGTATGTTTGAATTCATTGCTGTGGCCATTGTATCCATCCGTCCCAAACATGGGGATCCCTTCCAGTGGCTGGTCTTTCCTGATGATGCATCTGAAGTCTCACCATCCTGGCTTCTCAGGAGCATTCTGGCTGTACTTCCTCCAACACAGGTTTGTTTGCTCTTTGGGAAGTCCAGCATACATTCAGTGTCCTCGGCCAAAACCACAGTCAGAATGCCTCAGTTCTCTGTCTTCCTTGATCATTGTCCAGCTTTCACACGCATAGGAGGCAACTGAGAAGACTGTGGGTTGGGTCAGGTTCACCTTAGTGCTCAGGGTGACATCTTTCCTTTTCTCACTTTAAAGAGGTCTTCGCAACAGATTTGTCCAATGTCGTTTGACTTCTTGACTGCTGCTTCCATGGGCACTAATTGCACGTCCAATCCATCCTCTTTCTCAATGACCCTTCACTTTACCAAGCATATAAGGGATTGGTCCCACCTGATAGCATGTCCAAAGTGTGTGAGACAAAGTCCTGCCATCCTCGTTTCTAAGCAGCATTCTGGTTGTACTTCTTCTAAAATAGATTCATTCATTTTTCTGGAAGTCCATGGTATTTTCAGTATTCTTCACCAACACCATATTTCAAAGGTATCAATTCTTCTTCAGTCTTACCTGTTCATTGTCCAGCTCTCACATACATATAACACAATGAAAAATACTGTGGTCAGGCACACCTTTGTCTTCACAGTGACATCTTTGGTCTTTAGCACGTTCAGGAGGTCTTTTGCAGGAGATTTGCCCAGTGCCACATGTCATTTGATTTCTAGACTGCTGTTTCCATGGGTATTGATTGCCGATCCTTCATTGAAGTAGAGTGAAATCCTTGACAATTTCAATTCCATTTATCGTGATGCTGCTTATTGATCCAGTTGTGAGAATTTTTGTTTTCTTTGTATTGAAGTGTAATTCATACTGCAGACTGTAGTCTTTGAACTTCATCAGTAAGCGCTTCAAGTCATCTTCACTTTCAGCAAGCAAGGTTGTGTCATCTGTGTATCATAGGTTGTTAATGAGCTTCCCTCCAGTCCTGATGTCGCACGCTTCTTCAAATCTGAAAAGAATAATCAACAGCTTTGACCTCTCCAATTACAAGATATTTTTAATGCTTTTGATATTGAAGTGTATTTCCAGCATACCTTGCATCCTAGTAGTAGAACAGTGATATCAAACGGTGGTTCAGTGCCTACTCTGTGCCTGGGCAGAGCTCAGTGCCTCACTGCCTGCTGTCACTCCCATTTCTCAGATGGGAAGACTGAGGTCACACTGCTGGGCATAGCGTGCACGGCTGCGTCATCACTGAACTGTGAGCCTTGTGGGCTCTAGTGTTGAATGCATGTTCCGGATTCTGCACCTGCTGGCACTCGGGGGTCAGAAGGGGCTCCCATGGAGGCCTGACCTGACCGCTCACCACCTGGCACCTCCACTCCCAGCCACAGTGGCGACAAGAGGCCCTGAAGGGTGGTCCCACAGAAGACAAAGAATGGTCTTGTGAAAGATGGAAGAAGCGTACCTGGTGCGCATCCCAGATGCCCAGCTGCCCAGCTGCCGTCCACCTACCAGGAGAGGGGCTATGCAGGAAGCCTACTGGGTGCGGGCTGCTCTGGCCCTGGGTTCTGCTCCAGATTAGGGAGTGGAGGGTCCTGGTGGCCCCAGCCTTTGATCATGGACACGCGACAGCTTTGGGAATGTTTTCAGGCGCCACGGCTGCTTCAGGGAAGCCATCCAGGATGAGTTTACTGTTTGTGGAATCTATAAACAGCCTGCTGGGTCCCCAGCGTGCAAGCAGCCAGCAGCGCTCGCACGCACATGCCCGGCCCCGGAGTGAAGTGGTTCCAGGGCCGCCCAGCTGACCGGCGCGTCGCCGGCCGGCTAGCGTGACTGGCCCGCTGGCCTGGTGTTGCTCCATCACCACGGCAACAACTCTCCCAGGAGCCCGCTCCCCACTTCCCTTTTTCCAAGGAAGAGCAAGGAGGGGGGCTGGTAGAATTGTTTCTTCTTCCCTCTTTTTTTTTTTTTTTCCCTCTGCGGAGACCTTGACAGAAATAATCTTTGAAGTGCTTGCTGGCTGTTTGTTCTGCCGGGGGACTGAGAGGGGGCAGGCAGCTATTTAAAGGGTTTGGCAAAGGAAGGCCCGCACCCGCCATGGTTACCTACAGGGCCTGCCGGTGGAGGTGAATGTCCTGCCCGTGGCCCGCACCTTGAGTGGCAGGTGCAGCGTCCGTGCCAGCGCGAGATCCAAGAGAGCAGTGATTTTTGTTTTTTCCACTTAAAATCAGGGCAGCCTTCAGCTTGGGGCTAAATCCCTTTTTCCAATTGGAAAAGTGATCTCATTTTCCATGCACAGCGCTTTTGTTTTTGTTTTTCTTTAAGCAACAAGTCTTGAGCGATTAAAAAGGGAGAGGAGAAAGGAGACCGAGGCTGTGCGGATTTGCAGGCCGCGCCCACGTGTGTGAAGGCACTTGGCTGGGCACCCTGGACCAGAATCCTCCCTCCGTCTGATGTTGCGTCCAGATGACTTGCCGAGCAGCAGGACATGGTCTTCTCCTCCTTTTTTTAATTTCTGCCTCGTGAGTGAAAATTAAGGTTGTTTTTGGTTGTGACTAATCTTGTAAAATCTTTTTTAGGAAGGCATTTTGTGTACTCAAGCCTTGAAAATCTCTTGGATCTTTGAACTGTTATTAATAGCACATCAGCATCTGGGCAGCCGCTGCCGAGGACGGCAGGCACTGGGCTCCAGCATCTCCCCTCGCCCCCAGCGCTGCACGGGAGGGCTGGGGGCCTCAGCTCACTGTACCTGGCCACCCCTGCCACGGCCCTGCTTCCGCCCACGGGAGCAGACCACTTCACCGTCGCCCCTGCCCAGGACGCGCAAGCGAGGGGACACCCACACACTCAGCTTTCAGCTGGCCTCGGGGACCGTGGCCCAGGGAGCAGCAAAGCTAGCCCTTGGGGCCTGTCTGCTGGAACAGCACAGGGGCTGAGTGGACGGGATGTTTTCTGTCTCTAGGTGGACCCTGCATTGTCCGTCCTATCTCGGCCGCTATCCTGGGAAGGGAGTTCCTCGGCCTGCGGGCGGCCAAGAGGACTTCAGCCTGAAGGGACATTGGCAGCTCCTACACACACACCCCCAATCTGCAACTCTGCTCCAGTGCCTGTCTGAGGGCAGCAGCCACCCAGGGTCAGATCCACTGAGCACCCTGGATCCACTCCCTGCCCCGTCTGAGCCTTACCGCCTCCACGGGCAGCAGATGAATGGGCTGTTCTCCCTGCCCTGTCTGCCCTTACCCTCAGCACGAGGGACTGGATGAATGCCCTGTTCTTGCTGCCCAGTGTGATCGTACGTCCTACTGTCCCTGCCACGGCCCCAAAGCCCCTGTATCCTGCCTGGTGCCAGTGCTGTGCTGCCCTGCTGCCACCAGCAGCAGAGCCCCCGGGGACAGGAGGGATGCAAACATACTGTCAGATTCTGGAATGTTCCGCACTTGGATCGAATCCAGGCAAGCCAAGCGCACCAGGACTTCTTTCTTTCTTTTTTAACTTTGAATTGTGATTTGGGTGAAGGTTTAGCGAGCAAATTTGTTTTCCATTCAACAGTTCATACACATTTTGTTTCATGACGTTGATTACAATCCCCACCATGTAGCGGCTGTCTTCCCTCTTCCTCCGGGGGGTTGCCTTTGCCCTGTGTCCTTCTTCCCATGCATTCCTGCCCCTGAGCTGTCTCCCTGGGCAC